AGCTAGGGTAAGCGATCCCTATAGTACGAAACACAAAGAGGCAATTTGCTAGCTCTATACTACACCCTTCTACACGCCCTAATATGAACCCTATCAAGAAGTTCTAGAGGAGGATTAAGTAGATTTTACATAGAATTTAGCGTCAGCCAACGACAGAGGCCGAGATAGGAAAAATAGTACTAGAAGAATAGGATAGAATACCTCGGGAATAGATAAATAAGTTGATTGATTTTAAAGTAGGAGTATTAGGTACAGGTCCTTATGTAGCACTATGAGTGGTCAACTCCTAATTTCTCCCTGCCTCGGATTAGCTATACGATTCCCTATAGAAATCTCGCTACGTTTTATTTAAGGGGGGGGGGGAGTAGCTTAAGCTGGATAGCTACTCCTGTCACTGACCTAATCATGTGATTTGACCACTTACTCAGGGACGGTGCGGCAGAATCACGCGTTAAAGACGCTAAGGGGCAGTGCGCCCTATTTTCCGTCGCATAGCGTTTCACCCTACGGAGTAGATTCATTTCTCCACTCGCCCCACGCCTTTACCATACCTCTGTCGTCAATCAAGGATAGTTTATTCGATGCCAGTAGAGGCCTGTTCACTACCACCAGATTATTGCACTTCCCAGCCGTGTCTGCTTTACGTTCTGCAGTTCATGATCTCGCAGGGTGAGACCATTCTATCCCTTCTAAACTGCTTCGCTGATACCGGGCTCGCAGGCATCATTCTCTATGGCTGATCCTCTCACCATAGTTGGCCTTATTGCCAACCTCGTCCAGCTCGTCGACATCAGTACAAAAGTCTTAGTGCGTCTAAACGACTTCCAATCTACTCTCGGGGGGGTTCCAAAAGCCTTTCGACACATCAAAGCCGAGCTGCCAGTCCTACAACAGACTCTCATTCAAACCAAAGACAAAATTGACAATGGTGCTATTGAAGACTCGATGAAGGCTGCGTTGCTCCCAGCCGTTGAAGGTTGTGGGAACCAGGTTAAGGCGCTCGATGATCTACTTCCCGAAACCCTTCCAGCGGTTAGCGATTCTCGCTTCAAGAAGATCACAAAGGCATTGTGGAGTATAACACAGGATAGCAAAGTTGAAAGCATAATGAAAATTCTCCGTGATTATATCGCAACCCTTACATTCTACCACGCTGCTGCGTCATCAACGTTACAGCCATTGAAAGGTGTGTATTTGCAGGACCAAGATAGCTTTATGCTAACGGGTTGTCATAGATACAAATCTTGTTGAGATTCGTCGGTGGCTATGTCCACCGGATCCGTCGATTAATTACCAGAAAGCACTCAAACTTCGACAGGCTGACACTGGTCTCTGGCTTCTAAGCAGTGAAGTATACACCAAGTGGAAGAGTGATATGTCCCCCTTCGTCTGACTATATGGCATTCCCGGCTGCGGCAAAACCATTCTTAGCTCAACGGTCACTGAGGACATTCTGAATACCTATGCCAATGATCCTGGTATAGTGGTTGCATACTTCTACTTCGACTTCACTGATAAGGAGAAGCAGAAGTCTGAGCTCATGGTACGGTCCCTGATCTCTCAGCTCTCAGAACAATGCATCAACATTCCAATGGCCCTCGAGGGATTATATTCATCCTTAGACAAGGGAAATCGGCAACCTTCCCTTGATGCACTGATGAATGTCCTACAGCAGATGCTTCAGGAGTTTCCACAACCGTATCTAATTCTAGATGCCTTGGATGAATGTGCAGACCGTGCTGAGCTGATGAAAATTCTTGAACAAATAGCTCAGTGGCAGATCGAGAACATACATGTCCTAGTTACTAGTAGGAAAGAACGTGACATTGAGAACTCGCTTGAGGACATCGTAAATGGAGAGTATATTGTCGGCCTCCAAAGTCATGTAATAGACAAAGATATTGAAATTTATGTTCGTCAGAGGTTGTCTGATGACAAGGGACTGAACAAATGGCGAAAAGATGCTGGCATTAGGAGGGAGATTGAAACCACCCTAACAGAGGGTTCTCGCGGAATGTAGGTATCCCATCTCTTTACTACAAATCTGCTATATTGACACTCAGCAGGTTCCGATGGGCTGTCTGCCAGATGGACTCGTTAGGGAAATGCCGCACAAGGCTAGCGCTTCAAAAGGCTCTAAAAGTGCTACCAGTAACACTAGATGAAACATACGAGAGAATCCTGTACAGAATCAGCGACGACGACTCAGAGTATGCTATGCGCATCCTGAAGTGGCTGGTCTTTTCATCCAGGCCACTATCCGTGGAAGAGCTGGCCGAAATCGTCGCTATCAACGTAGAGCGAGAGCCCGCCTTCAATCGGGATGAGATCCTTGAAGACCCGATAGATGTTCTGGATATCTGTATGGGTCTTGTCTCAGTGGCTATGGCGGAATCGTCTTCCTTGCCTAGTCCAAGCCCTCACTCGAGTACAATATCCCGGACAGTCACATTAGCCCATTACTCTGTTCAAGAATACCTCGTCTCCACGCGGATCCGTCAGGGTAATGCCGCGCGGTATAGCATGCAAGCAGCTGCCTCCCATGCTTATATTGCAAAGGGAACCATTAGCTATCTTCTCCAGTTCTAAAAGGATCTATTTAATAGATTCGAATATACCATTTCTCTCTATGCAGTCTATGCACTAACTCGATACTCAGCTGAGCATTGGATGGTCCATGCCCGGAAGGCGGAAGAGCCAGAGCAAGAGCCAGAGCAAGAGCGAGGGCGAGAGCAGGATAATCTGCTGAGTTTAGCCACAAATGTTTTCTCTACAAGAGATGGTGCTTACCTAAACTGGCTCCGCCTACATGATCCAGAGATGACATGGCAAGGACCTGACTTTCGAGGAGAATTAGACCAGTGTCCTAATCCGCTGTACTATGCATCTTGGGGTGGTCTAGTTGGCACCGCTAGTCGATTGGTTGAGAAGGGCGCCGACGTCAACGCCGTAGGACGATACTATGGCACCGCGCTCCAGGCGGCTTCAGATAAAGGCCACTACAAGATTGTTGATATACTACTAACCAAGGGAGCGGATTTCAACGCCCTAGGAGGATGATACGGTACTGCACTCCAGGCGGCTTCAGTTAAAGGCCACTACAAGATCGTTGATATACTACTAACCAAGGGAGCCGACGTCAATGCCCTAGGAGGACGATACGGCACTGCACTCCAGGCGGCTTCACTTCATGGCCATGATAAGATCGTTGAGGTACTACTGACCAAGGGGGCCGACGTCAACGCCCTAGGAGGAAGAGAATACGGCACCGCGCTTCAGGCGGCTTCACTTCATGGCCACGATAAGACCATCAAGGTACTACTAAGTAAGGGCGCTATATAAGGATTATTACACCCTTTATTTGCACCCCTATACCCTACTTACTACCTTCCGATTAGTATTTCTTTATATATATCTATAACGTGTTCTCTTATTAAAAATACTCCCTCTACTTTAAATTACTATCTATAAGCTACTTGATGTAATAAAACAGCCCCGTTAGTAGGAGCTAAGAGTGCTTGTCTTTAAACACTTTCGCGAGCTCTAAGATAAGGATAAGATAAGTAGTCGAACTCGTTCCCGCTCTACTTAGATTAATACCTTAATTTAAGAACCTAACTACTTTATCTTAGTAGTGTAGGTAATACTATACTCCTATGACCGGCCTTCACAAAAACACTAAAAGAGGGGCTTACAGAAATGGTCCTTTATTCGAGGAAAACTAAGCTAGAGAGGAAAGAAAGGATCGAGTAGGAACTCGACAGAAAAAGTGCTATTAAGTGGGTCCCTCCTACCTCGGCTAACCGGTAGTACCTCGTTGAAACACGACGAAGTTAACTCGAGTTAACTTAGCCCCTATAAGTCCTAATAAGTAAAGGCATGTAATAGAGCTATTACACTTATTAAGTAAACTATAAATATACTAGATATAACTATAGTATTACACTAGGATAAATACTAGTAGAGGTAGCGTAGATCACATCATATTAAAACCACGTGTGAGATTATCTAAACATTAATCCTCTTTCTATACTAAAACCATCTCGATACGAGTTATATAGATTGACTAATTAATTAATTACTCCGCCTCCCGTCCCGTACAAGTCAGAGACTCTCTTTCGTGGGACGCTAGATCCTTGGATCTGGATTTAAGCTCGAAACTTATTCTCAGGGGTCGTCGAGTAGTAAGGTCGTGGAATCCTACGCGCCGGTTCTCTATATGTAAATCTAGAAGTGGGGAGAACATCTTTCGGGCCGGAGCACAGGGATGCTATTAGGGTAGTCTTTACTGGCTTATATTATTAACAGGCTAGTGGCATATGTTAGACCCTTATCAAAAATAAAATAACACGCGGTATTCTAGGAGATGGCAGAGGTCTGGCTTCGAACGGAAGTCGTGCTCCCATTCCTCCTCCTCCCACGGGATTCCAGACCCATCACCTATCTTTCGAGCTGACCCTTCTTCCCGTCGTGGGTATATATCTATCGTATTATATAAATAAATATAAAGAGGACGCCTTACCTCCAACGTCATCTTAGTATGTCCAACCAACCGCTGGGAAAGGCTTTCGAAAAATTTCGCTTCATCGCCAACGAGTGTAAGGGTTACATACATACAACCAGGTGGAAACAAATGTAAAATTGAGGTCATATCACCTGGTTTTCGGAAGGTTCAGCACCAATCACCTGGCTAGGATAACTCTTACGGTTCATTACGGTTTGCTATTGGTCAAAGACTATCACATCATTTTACATTTGATTTGCCCTGTAGGTTGTGTGAAGAGGGAGGTGATAACAAAATAGTGTGCCTCAGGCCCCAGATTATGAGCTAGTCCTAATCTGGAAGTCCACCGCATTTCTAGCGAGGCAAAAGAGTGGGTCATTGTCAGTTTTCGCCTGGCCTCGGCTACATGACAAGATATTTCTCACAAACCACACAACACAACCATAATGTGGTTCCAAGCATCATCAAAAGGGCAAGAAAACAATTAAAAATTAATTGCGCCGGCCGGGAATCGAACCCGGGGCCAATGCAGATGTTACTTGAGTGGACTCAAGTATTGGCAAGCATCGATTTTACCACTAAACCACCGGCGCCTGTTTTTGTATGTTGCTGTGCAATTTGAATATAAATATAAGCTGTTCCCATCGCCACTCGACGATTTCCTCCATCCGGTAAGATAGACAGACAGTCAGCTATTATTTATCGAAATATTTATCGAAACCCAAAGGTTATAATTACCGTCAGAGGCTTGCATTTAAACCAGCCTCGCACGGTAAATCGAAAATCAGAAATCGGACTGTCTATCTTCCTCTACGGTCAAAGAGTCGCCTTCACCAACGTGCTTTCTCAATCCGTCGGAGAGACTACGGAGGCAATTCGGCTTCCAAATAAGATTACAGGTAATATATAACTACTTTAGTGTGTGAACGTGGACCTGCGGCGAATATTCTAAATGTAGATGGTGTATAAATAATAAAACAAGGAAAGATCGATGATTAGAGTCATGTTGCAATCTAATTATAGCATTCGTTCTGGTTAGTAGAATTAAAATATCATTTTCATTAGACTGAACTGTTGAAGCAAAAATGTTACCACGCCGCTTTAGACTAAGTTAGAATTACTCCGATGTGGTTGTTTCTAGATTATTTGACACGAAGTGTGATCAACGTGTGATAACATCCGTAGCCGTTCTTATTGTGGAGTTATTACATATTAAGTCTCTCGCACCTGCCCGAGCACGTCCTTGAGTAGCGGGTTTCCGCCAAGTCGTCCTCGCGACTCAAGCCGAAGAGGTCGTAGTGGCAGCCAGCCAGGACAAGTGGATATCAGAGTGAGGTTACTTACCTCGTTCACTTAATGATCAATCCGCGGTCCAAACAATTCTCTTTTCACATAAGTAGCGCTAGCATTTTGCACAGCTTTTGCTCTGACATGCCAAGAAAACCTCGCTAGATAACACCATTCGATATGACTTCGTAAAACAATTAACACAATGGACGGTGCGCGTGTAACCTTAATACACGGGCACTCAGGTCGAGTCTACGTCAAATTAGTAAAAATACTCTCGGGACACGTAAGAAATTCAAATTAAATACCTGATAAATACACTTATGGCAGAGGCGTCCAACCACTGTAAGACTAAAAATGACCATTAGAAGACAGGTTTAGCTCTAATAGGACAGAAGCGGGATGGGTGGAGGAGAGCGTGTACTACTAACACCTCGACGTTCTTCGGGGTCTTAGAACATGACTAGATGAGGAAACTGTTGATAGGTACGGTGATAAATGCGGCTGAGTAGAGCTGGTGGGCATAATACGAGGCAAAATGATATTACGAGGCAGACTGAGGAGATCTATATAAACGGGACATAACCTCAGGGGAAAAGGACAATGAAAACCAGAAGACCGTTTTACCTCTACTCTTGCGACTCCATTTAAGTGTCATTTTACGACTCTTGTTCCAACAAAGTTGTACGATTACAAGGCGGAGGTGGGATAGTTTTCCCGATAAGTTCGAGAGCCGCCAATTAAAATGTGGAAATCAAATTCCTAGTTGGTCGAATGTGTGGATCTCATTGGCTAAATATTTCGGGTTGTGCCCGGTACGCTCCCGGTGTTCGGCCCCAGTCGGGACCTTCAGAGCTTCGGGGGGAGGGGGTCCTCATGATCAGCCATCAGGATCGGCATGATCCTAATCCAGATAGACATAACCATATAAAATATTGTTCGATGGAACCTGTGCAGTGTAGGGTGTGTCTTTAAATTTACCGTGGGGCTCTTAAACCCGGCACGCGAGGGAGTTAGTTTTGGTTTCCTGAAGGTCGTATCTATCTATGCCATGTCTCTTTTTTCCGTGCTTCATCTCAAGACAAGAGTGAAAATGGTCGATCTTATAGTACAGGAAGATTGCATAAAGTGGCATGTATGGTCTCATACTACCATCTACTTTAGGCCTCTAAGCAATCGACAGATGATATTCGGGCTTATCTAGAAAATTTACTCACACGGGATACATCATTTCGGCTTGGCGTGTTACGATTTATTCAATCAGATAATCACACGTCTTCCTTTTTCTGCCGGTCGTGAAAGAATGGAACACATATGCGGACACTTTACGCTATGCGTGTATTAAAGAAGATACCAATCAGATCGAAGACTACGTGAGCGATACTATTTCGCGTCTTATAATAAATGACTACATAATTGGCTCTAATATAGTTAGTACCTATTTAGGCTTGCTACGTGGGCTTGGGGCGCGAATTAGTAACGGATGATTGTTTACAAATATTGCTTAACGTATAAGAACAAAGTCTACATGTATAGTCTACTCGAGGATGTCTAGTAGTTTATTATATTTTTCTATCCCGAAATTTCTCCCTAGACTTTTATTCGACTAATTACAATTAACAAAGATAACCTTAGAATAGAGTATTACGATAGTATAGACCTCCTAATACTAAAGAATTTAACTAGATAGAGTAGGAAACTATTGAAGGGGACCTCTATAGATATTATCAAGGAAAACACGCCATGTCAATTGATACAAAGCAACGCTTGTGTAATCCCCATGTTAGTAGGCATTCGAAAGCTAGCCTTCTCCGAGGTAGATCTTATTATGCCAACGGGTCGAGCAAGAGGCCTCTCGGAAATCATCACCGGCAAGTTTGATCCTACTTTTGGAGACCTTTTGCCTTTCAAGAAGCGCCACACATTCGACAATATCATAAATTGGCCTTCTGAAGACAATGAAGATTCCATGAAAGTTGACATGAAGCACATGCCTCTTTCAACGCCGATGGGTTCCACTACATCATTTGAGCTAGAAGACAGAGTTCTTAAATTTAGTGCTCCTAGCACTGCTCAGTTCGTGTCTTCACAGGAAATGAAGACTATATTTAGCACTGTTCAACTAGTGGACGAAGGGAATGTTCGACATATAAAGCCGGTGCCGAAGACGAATGCTGCATCTGTCACTATCCAGCCAGTGGACGAAGAAAATGTTCAAGCATTGAAGTCATCGCAGACGATGAATGGCGCTTCTGGTGTTGCTCAGTCAGAGGATAAAGGAAACAATCGAGAAATGAGATCGACGCATAAGAAGGATACCATGTCTATGACTGTTCAATCCTTGAATGAAGAGAAGCTTCAAGACATGAAGCTGTCAAACGAATCAAGGGTTATAAACCCAAAATCTCTTAAAAGCAAAACGGCTTCATCACTACCATTTAACTTGACCACAACTTTGTCGATGTCCACCTCCAAAGGAAATCATTGATTTCCTTCGGGGAGCCATTCGCACGTATCGGATTTCTACAGCCAGGACCCATGGATTTCCAGTTTCGTTGTAATAGCGCTGCCAGTTGCTGAAAAGGTTGCTAAGAATACTTCCCACAATCTGTTCTCCCTGTACTCTCGCTACCAGTTCAGTAAATGGTTTGATACTAGAACCTCGAAGCACCGGTTGAAGGGGAAGTGAGATTTACTACTAGAGTATCAAAAGGCTATCTATCCTAAGGGAAATAGAGTACGGGGGCACTGAGAATGTCGGGAAAGGGTTTCGCGCGGTTCAAGCAGTTGCAAGCAGATATGAAGTATGGAGATCTCTTTTCAAGGTATTAACTCTAAAATCTTAGGGTAACGTCGCGGTCTTTAATATGCCAGGTAAATCTATTTTTAGTACGAGGAATCCTTACATGTAATTTTATAAGCGGTTACTGGTCTTTCTATCTACCTTCATGACCTCGGAACAGTTCTTGTACTCGTAAAATCAGACTTCACAATAAGGACACTGGTTGTGATTATAACCACTATATATGGTTCTGTCGCCAATAAGTTGAACCGTATCGCACAGACAACATGCCCAGGGAAGCGACATTCTGAAAAAAAAAAAAGAATGTTTGTGATGATGAGGGGCCGTAGTACTTTATACTTGTATGCCGATAACTCTTTCCCACTTCCCAGCAACCACAATTAGCTCATCGGCAGGGGATGAGCGAGGAGATTTCCCCAAATCTTTCAGCGAATGTCCTTGAGGAAATGTGCAACAAGGGGAAGAAGTACACTACAAGACTCGCGAAACTCAACGCAACGGGAAGATTAAGAGCCTCAACAAGATAAACAACAAACCCGAGGTATTTAGTTCGCTAAAATATATTAAGATAGCCCATATGGTCGAGTTTATTTACAGATATTACGGACAATCGACGGGATTAATCCATACAAGGGTGACAACCTGCCAAAGCGTAATAATAATCTCACGGCATATAAGTTGATAGACTTTAGCACCACTCCTTAGAACATCTTATAACAGCAGAGTAAGCTCCAAGACACGCTTGCTCCTCTCCATAGCTATATTGCAGCTACTCAAGAGTTGCGGTCCAAGCTGCGACAAGCAAACAAAAGTATTGCTAGCCATATGAGATGGGAGGCGAAGCTGACTGTATGAGGATGTTACTTCTCCAGCCTACTGACTTGGACTGTCGTAACACTTTCGACGCTATCCATAACCGAGCATTAGAAGATGCTAAGAGCCACGGATACGAAGGAGAAGCGGTGAAAATCAACGAGCAGCCCTCGTAAGCTTCTAGAGTTCGAGCCTGGTGGGGCCTATGGCGTTGTACCATTACAGTTTTGGTTCTTCGCTCGAGTCTGTTTTGGTCGAGCATAGCCAAAGTCTAGCCGACCTGATCAAGGGGTGTATGAGTCATCCTGGTGAGGATCGCTATGAGCAAGCAATCCAGGATCGTCTACGGTGACTTATCCAGAACGGCTAGATCACGAAGACTACTACTATACGAAGAACGACTACTCTAGGAGCCTTAATTACCTTGTGCTTTAGCGGACGCCCACAATTATATGGCCAGACTGACGTTTTACATATCTTTGAGAAGAGCTTAAAACCTAGAATTCTTGCACATGTAATAAATGTGGGGCAAGAAGTGGAATACGAAGGATATAAAATCGGGTCGCGGGCAATGAGTCGGTAAGCTATCAAACAACTTCGGCCAAGAACCACAGGGGGGGGGGGGCGGGGGGGTAGAACACAGGCCCAAAAGGATGCTGAAGATGAGGATACGAAGACTGCATTCATAGA